CGTCGAGGGTCCTCTTCCCCAAAGAAGCCCTCTAACCTGTCCCCATAGGAACGCTTAGCAGCTTTTATAGAGCGTTCCACAGCGTAGCAGGACAGCTTGTAAGCACCCTCATCACCGGATTGAAACGCCAGTGTCCGCTCAATAATTCTCAATTTGACGTCAGTGTTCATCCAAGGTTTTTGGCCGGAGTGTTCTTTGATAACTTTATAGGGGACACAACAGTCAATGCAAAAGTGTATGTAACAGCCTCGCAGAATTCATCAACATTCTCAGAGTTAAACACAGACCAGTCTGTGGCATCAAAGCAGCCCTGCAGCTTCATGTTAGCCTCCTCAGACCAGCACTGCACAGTGCGGGAAGTAGGTTTGTGCTGTTTGTTCCTCTGTGTATAAGAAGGAAGAAGGAGAACAGCAGAGTGATCAGACTTCCCAAAAGCAGGTCTGAGACTGGACCTGTAAGCTGCCTTCACGTTACTATAGCAGTGATCCAGGATGTGAGCTCCCCTGGTAGGCTGACTCACATGCTGATAAAAGTTTGGTAATACAGACTTTAAGTTACATTTATTAAATTCACCACCAACTATAGATCATCCGACTTGTTCGGGAGAGACTGAACGTTTGCCAGGTAAATGGGTGGCAGTGGGACCCTGGAGGAGCGACTCGGCACGAGAAGCCCGCCTCGCTTTCCCCGGTGTCTGCTCTTCCTCCGTCGGCGAGAGACACCCGGCTCCGCACGGCGGTAAACACGCCATGTTCCCGGTCTCTGTGGCGGTCCGCACGCCATGTTCCCGGTCTCTGTGGCGGTCCGCACGCCGCTCTCCTCGAGCTGGGCACTCGTCAAAGCCATCGCACCTCAGAGCAGGCAGCACTGGCTCACAGGCCAAGTCCCGGATGTCCAGGAGAGTCTGTCGGTCGTAGACCACAGCGGCTGTGGTGTTTTGTAAAAGGATAGAGACAGCACATACATCATGGTGCACAACAGAGCTTTTGCAGCGGCGCCCTGGCACGGCGCCATCTTAGCTCACTTTAGTTAGCATATGGCTAGGAAGGTAAGACTCAGGGAAGGCTTTATAACCGAAGAAACAGAAGAGGCTCCTCATCAGGTGATTTCATCTTGATCTGTGATGTATTTGAAATGTACATGTTTCCAGAGTGTTAAGAGTTTTAAACATGATCAATGAAAACACAGCTCATAATGTTTCCAGAGCGAACATGTTTATTGTTGTCCAAATCTTGACTTTCATCGTGCTTTGTCGTGTTGTGATGAAGGGTGAGATGAGCGTACACATTTACACCTCCTCCAGACCTGGTGTGTATTCTGTACCGTACGCTCACGTCCAGATCCATAAATGCCCAAAAGTGTAAATATTTTGCGTACGCCTCATTTACCCTGATTTGACCGTACGCAAGTTTCATAAATGAGGGCCATTAAGTGGGTCTCCCCGAGGTTTCTCACTTTTTTCCCACTGGGTTTTTGTGAGTTGGGTTAGTGTCCAACTAGGACTGTGATGATCCAGGACACTTTAAAGGAGCTGTACCTGTTTCTGCAGGTTAGAATGTTTAGCCCCGCCCCCAACTCGCTCACAGGCTTCTCATGTCCCCTACGCTCTCCTCCCACGGAGCATCTAGTTTTATTTACCATCTGATAAGTATGCTAACATTAGCATTAGCACAACTTAAGCTGTACAACAATCACTGATGAAATGGTCCAAAAGCAACGCACTGTTAACACAATATATAACTGAAAGATTACTGCTGGTTTCACGTCCAAATGTGCGAGCGTAGATAGTCCGAGCGTAGATAGTCCGAGCGTAGATAGTCCGAGCGTAGATAGTCAGAGCGTAGATAGTCAGAGCGTAGATAGTCCGAGCGTAGATAGTCCGAGCGTAGATAGTCCGAGCGCAGATAGTCCGAGCGCAGATAGTCCGAGCGCAGATAGTCCGAGCGTAGATAGTCCGAGCGCAGATAGTCCGAGCGTAGATAGTCCGAGCGTAGATAGTCCGAGCGTAGATAGTCCGAGAGTAGATAGTCCGAGCGTAGATAGTCCGAGCGTAGATAGTCCGAGCGCAGATAGTCCGAGCGCAGATAGTCCGAGCGTAGATAGTCCGAGCGTAGATAGTCCGAGCGTAGATAGTCCGAGCGTAGATAGTCCGAGCGTAGATAGTCCGAGCGTAGATAGTCCGAGCGTAGATAGTCCGAGCGTAGATAGTCCGAGCGTAGATAGTCCGAGCGTAGATAGTCCGAGCGTAGATAGTCCGAGCGTAGATAGTCCGAGCGTAGATAGTCCGAGCGTAGACAGTCCGAGCGTAGACAGTCCGAGCGTTGATAGTCCGAGCGTTGATAGTCCGAGCGTTGATAGTCCGAGCGTTGATAGTCCGAGCGTAGATAGTCTGAGCGTAGATAGTCCGAGCGTAGATAGTCCGAGCGTTGATAGTCCGAGCGTTGATAGTCCGAGCGTAGATAGTTGAGCGTAGATAGTCTGAGCGTTTATAGTCCGAGCGTTGATAGTCCGAGCGTAGATAGTCTGAGCGTAGATAGTCCGAGCGTTGATAGTCCGAGCGTTGATAGTCCGAGCGTAGATAGTCCGAGCGTAGATAGTCCGAGCGTAGATAGTCCGAGCGCAGATAGTCCGAGCGTAGATAGTCCGAGCGCAGATAGTCCGAGCGTAGATAGTCCGAGCGCAGATAGTCCGAGCGTAGATAGTCCGAGCGTAGATAGTCCGAGCGTAGATAGTCCGAGCGTAGATAGTCCGAGCGTAGATAGTCCGAGCGTATGGTCCGAGCGTAGATAGTCCGAGTTTAGATAGTCCAAGCATATGGGTCCGAGCATATGGTCCGAGTGTAGATAGTCCGAGCGTAGATAGTCCGAGCGTAGATAGTCCGAGCACAGATAGTCCGAGCGTAGATAGTCCGAGCACAGATAGTCCGAGCGTATGGTCCGAGCGTAGATAGTCCGAGCGTAGATAGTCCGAGCACAGATAGTCTGAGCGTATGGTCCGAGCGTAGATAGTCTGAGCGTATGGTCCGAGCGTAGATAGTCCGAGCGTCGATAGTCCGAGCACAGATAGTCCGAGCGTAGATAGTCCGAGCGTAGATAGTCCGAGCGTAGATAGTCCGAGCGTAGATAGTCCGAGGGTAGATAGTCCGAGCGTAGATAGTCCGAGCGTAGATAGTCCGAGCGTTGATAGTCCGAGCGTAGATAGTCCGAGCGTAGATAGTCCGAGCGTAGATAGTCCGAGCGTTGATAGTCCGAGCGTTGATAGTCCGAGCGTTGATAGTCTGAGCGCGTGATAGTCCGAGCGTTGATAGTCCGAGCGTAGATAGTCTGAGCGTTTATAGTCCGAGCGTAGACAGTCCGAGCGTTGACAGTCCGAGCGTTGACAGTCCGAGCGTTGATAGTCCGAGCGTAGATAGTCCGAGCGTAGATAGTCCGAGCGTAGATAGTCCGAGCGTTGATAGTCCGAGCGTTGATAGTCCGAGCGTTGATAGTCCGAGCGTAGATAGTCCGAGCGTAGATAGTCCGAGCACAGATAGTCTGAGCGTATGGTCCGAGCGTAGATAGTCTGAGCGTATGGTCCGAGCGTAGATAGTCCGAGCGTCGATAGTCCGAGCACAGATAGTCCGAGCGTAGATAGTCCGAGCGTAGATAGTCCGAGCGTATGGTCCGAGCGTAGATAGTTTTGCTGTGTCTGCAGTTACAGCCAGAGGAGCTATAGCCACTTATGCTAACATGCTACTGTGTTTAGCAGCGCTGTAGAGGCTAGAGGAGGCGTGGCCTAGAGGACGCAGCCTGTTCTGTGATTGGAGGAGAGCGGGCGTCACGCTAAGTCTCTACTCAGTGCTTTTTACTGAGTTCATCCACAGCTGAATCAATGAGCTCAGGTTTTACATTCAATTACAGATTATAAAACAACTTGTTTTTAGTAATAAGCATTTTTATGAACTCATTAAAATAAAAATAAATCGGGTATAGCTTCTTTAACATTTATCAACATGTGTTCTATATTCTTTGTGTGTGTTAACTGTTGATTCTCTGATCTGTGATTTCAAAGGTTTAGTTCAGTCTCTGAGATGATGCTGTTGTGATTTAGAGAAATACAAGAATAAACTGTATTGTATTGTCTGTGAAATGTTCAATATAAATAAAGATACTACTCCTACGCCATGTCTGTGCTTCACCCTCTGTCCCTTTAAACTGCACTGATGTCTGTTGTGTGTCTGTTGTGTGTCCCTACTGTGCACGTGTTTTTATACTTGTATCAGTTATTTTCACCATGAGCCAAAGCAAACTTATTGTTTTTGACGCGTTAGAAATAAATAATTCTCATTCTTTGAGATGGACCGAAGCCAAACGGAGACGTACGTGTCGTGATGTCCTGCTGCAGCGCGGCCAGTCACCAGCAGAGGGCGCCACAGTCTCTCTAATACACATACACAGATAGAGATACGCACACAGAGACACACACACCATACACAGACACACACACAAACACACCGAGAGAGACACACACACAGACACACACACAGAGAGACACACACCACACACAGAGAGAGAGACACACCACACACAGACAAACACACACACACACCGAGAGAGACACACACACACACACACAGAGAGAGACACACCACACACAGACAAACACACAGAGAGAGAGACACACACACACACACACACACACAGAGAGAGACACACAGACACACACGCAAACACACAGAGAGACACACACCACACACAGACACACACACAGAGAGAGAGACACACACACACACACACAGAGACACACACACTCAGAGACACACACTTTACTGCAACAATAAACACACAGTATAACGTCTCTGACCTCCTGCCCGCCCCTCAGAGCCCCCCTCCCCGCAGGGAGAGTGCACACACTGGGCCTAACTTCTGCACTCGCACCGGGGGCAAGGTCCACCTCCTCCCGTCAGTCTGCCCCAGTGTGAGCCCGGGTGTCAGTGCCATGTGCCCGGGAGAGAGTGCACCATGAGCGGCCTGGAGCTCAGCGAGTTGCCGGACTCTGCGGAGGAGCTTGCCCCGTACGTGAGGGCCCTCCGCCGGGCAGCGCTGCAGGAGCTGCCCGGGGACCAGGCACTGTCTCACCGGTTCCTGCTCAAGTTCCTCCGGGCCAGAGACTTCGACGTGGACTCATCTCTGAAGGTACAGGACACGGAGAAAGAGTCGGAGTGGATCAGAGACTCACAGGGAGATCAGGAAAGATACTACTCACTCACTGTATAAGTGAAGCAGGATTAAAGCTGGGGTCGGTAACCAGGCCCGTCCTAAGGGCTGTGCGACCTGTGCCGTCGCACAGGGCCTCGCACCACACAGGGGCCTCGCAATCTTCCTTCCTTTTATTTTATTTTATAAATACACTAGTTCAAGGGTCCCCAAAGGGCAGACTGCACTCCAAATTTGGAACCCTAAACCCCTTTCTCTGGACCTCTTTGATTTCGTTTGATCAAAAGAACATTTTTACAAGTAAAGTCAAATTTTCACCAAAAGCGATTTGTAAACAGGCAGGCGCGCGGGCAGCTATGTATGCAACGGGTCCTCCGAAAAAACTGTCAGATAACTTTAGCAGTGTCTGAGTGAGATACAAAGAAAGTAACGGGAATGATCGCAGTGTAGGAGAGATGGATACTCGCGGAGGAGGAGCAGTGAGACAGGTGTGAGCAGAGGAGCAGACCCCTTTGTGTGAGCAGAGGAGGAGGAAGAGGATCAGCGGTGTGACAGGTGTGTGAGCGCTGCTATTGCCAATGTTTAGTCCGAATATCCACATCAAAAACATATTTTTAAAAGCATTAGCAAACACACTGTATGTCTAGCTTTAGCTAGCTGGAGTGTTTTTGTTGTGGTCAGAGTGTGTGGAGGAGGAGGTGAAGAGTATTTTGTTGTTGTCAGCGTGGAGGAGGAGGAGTGTATGTTGTCAGAGTGTGTGGAGGCATGGCAAAAACGTTATTTGATGAGAAAAAAATAATATTGACTCCGCCTCATAGCCATTTTGGCGCATTTTGCCAAAATCTAACTATTAGAAGAAAAAGACTCCTTTTGGTTCAATCTTTTGAGTTGCTCTACCATTTTGCCACAGGACGAAAGAGACATGTCAGCTAAAAAGACCGCGACCAATATTGCACGTAGAGTGTGTGTGCGTGTGTACGTGCGCGCGCCAAACGCTGCATAGGAGCGAAGACACTCGGTTACACGCGTGCTGATCTCGTCAAGCACCGCGCGAGGTGGTGCTGAATTCATGTCAAAGATTATAACAGGAAAAACTTTCCTCAGATCTGGGAAAAAAGTGTCAGGGCAGGGCCTCGCGTTTCGAGTTCGCACAGGGCCTCGCACCCCCCTTGGGACGGGCCTGTCGGTAACTTTAGTCTCATAAAAACCACAGAGAGAGAAACTTCTGAAACAAGTCCATGAGGAGGAACAGGTTTCATAGAAATAAACATTTCTTTGTTACTTCAGGGACCAGTTCAAACTATTGATTCTCTTCTGTTTGCACAGAAATGGATCTGGTCTCTCTCTCTGGTCTCTCTCTGGTCTCTCTCTCTGGTCTCTCTCTCTGGTCTCTCTCTGCTCTCTCTGCTCTCTCTCTCTGGTCTCTCTCTCTGGTCTCTCTCTGGTCTCTCTCTGGTCTCTCTCTGGTCTCTCTCTGGTCTCTCTCTGGTCTCTCTCTGGTCTCTCTCTGGTCTCTCTCTGGTCTCTCTCTCTGGTCTCTCTGGTCTCTCTGGTCTCGCTCTGGTCTCTCTCTGGTTTCTCTCTCTGGTCTCTCTCTGGTCTCTCTCTGGTCTCTCTCTGCTCTCTCTCTCTGGTCTCTCTCTCTGGTCTCTCTCTGGTCTCTCTCTGGTCTCTCTCTGGTCTCTCTCTGGTCTCTCTCTGGTCTCTCTCTGGTCTCTCTCTGGTCTCTCTCTCTGGTCTCTCTGGTCTCTCTGGTCTCGCTCTGGTCTCTCTCTGGTTTCTCTCTCTGGTCTCTCTGGTCTCTCTCGGGTCTCTCCGGTCTCTCTCTGGTCTCTCTCTGGTCTCTCTCTGGTCTCTCTCTGGTCTCTCTCTCTGGTCTCTCTCTGGTCTCTCTCTGGTCTCTCTCTGGTCTCTCTCTGGTCTCTCTCTCTGGTCTCTCTGGTCTCTCTGGTCTCTCTCTGGTCTCTCTCTGGTCTCTCTCTGGTCTCTCTCTGGTCTCTCTGGTCTCTCTCTGGTCTCTCTGGTCTCTCTGGTCTCTCTCTGGTCTCTCTCTGGTCTCTCTCTGGTCTCTCTCTGGTCTCTCTCTCTGGTCTCTCTCTGGTCTCTCTCTGGTCTCTCTCTGGTCTCTCTCTGGTCTCTCTGGTCTCTCTCTGGTCTCTCTCTGGTCTCTCTCTGGTCTCTCTGGTCTCTCTCTGGTCTCTCTCTGGTCTCTCTCTGGTCTCTCTGGTCTCTCTGGTCTCTCTCGGGTCTCTCTGGTCTCTCTCTGGTCTCTCTCTGGTCTCTCTCTCTGGTCTCTCTCTGGTCTCTCTCTGGTCTCTCTCTGGTCTCTCTCTGGTCTCTCTCTGGTCTCTCTCTCTGGTCTCTCTGGTCTCTCTGGTCTCTCTCTGGTCTCTCTCTGGTCTCTCTCTGGTCTCTCTGGTCTCTCTCTGGTCTCTCTCTGGTCTCTCTGGTCTCTCTGGTCTCTCTGGTCTCTCTCGGGTCTCTCCGGTCTCTCTCCGGTCCCTCTCTGGTCTCTCTCTGGTCTCTCTCTGGTCTCTCTGGTCTCTCTGGTCTCTCTGGTCTCTCTGGTCTCTCTGGTCTCTCTGGTCTCTCTGGTCTCTCTCTGGTCTCTCTCGGGTCTCTCCGGTCTCTCTCTGGTCTCTCTGGTCTCTCTGGTCTCTCTGGTCTCTCTGGTCTCTCTCTGGTCCATCAGTCCTCCTCCTTTAGTGCTGTGTCCTCTGCAGCTATGTTTAAAAGTGTGTGTGTGTCTGTGTGTGTCTCTGTGTGTGTGTGTGTGTGTGTGTGTGTGTGTGTGTGTGTGTGTGTGTGTGTGTGTGTGTGTGTGTGTCTCTCTCTCTCTGTGTGTGTGTGTGTGTGTGTGTCTCTCTGTGTGTCTGTGTGTGTGTCTCTCTCTGTCTGTGTGTGTGTGTCTCTCTGTGTGTGTCTGTGTGTGTGTGTGTGTGTGTGTGTGTGTAGTTGCTGCTGAACTACCAGACCTGGAGAAGGTCCAGTCCAGAGCTCAGTTCGTGTCTGTCTCCGCTCTCGGTCCTGGGGCTCCTCAGAGCCTCGTACCATGCTGTACTTCCCCTCCGAGACCACAGGGGCAGCAGAGTGCTGCTGTACAGGATCGGTATGAAACACAGAGACACACAAACACACACACACAGAGACACAGATACACACACACGCACGCACACACACACAGAGACACAGACACACACACACGTAGGCCTGTCACGATAACACATTTTGCTGGACCATTAATTGTCTCAGAAATGATTGTGATAAGTGATAATATTGTCGTTCTGAGGTCATTTTCATCTTAATACAATGATATTGATGCAGACACCTTTTCAGAGAGAAATACTTTTACTTTTAAAAACCACCGCCGGAAGAGGCAGAAGTGGACTTTGATGCTAACAGAGTTAAGCTAGCGGCTTTTTGTGTAAAGTTCTTCTCCAATAATGCAGCGTCTCTGTGTCTGAGACTTTATATAACAGCAGTATGTGTTCACAGTGACTTTATATAACAGCAGTATGTGTTCACGGTGACTTTATATAACAGCAGTATGTGTTCACAGTGACTTTATATAACAGCAGTATGTGTTCACGGAGGTGACTTTATATAACAGCAGTGTGTGTTCATGGAGGTGCCTTTATATAACAGCAGTATGTGTTCACGGAGGTGACTTTATATAACAGCAGTATGTGTTCACGGAGGTGACTTTATATAACAGCAGTATGTGTTCACAGTGACTTTATATAACAGCAGTATGTGTTCACGGAGGTGACTTTATATAACAGCAGTATGTGTTCACGGAGGTGACTTTATATAACAGCAGTATGTGTTCACAGTGACTTTATATAACAGCAGTATGTGTTCACGGAGGTGACTGTGTTCACGGAGGTGACTTTATATAACAGCAGTATGTGTTCACAGTGACTTTATATAACAGCAGTATGTGTTCACGGAGGTGACTTTATATAACAGCAGTATGTGTTCACGGTGACTTTATATAACAGCAGTATGTGTTCACGGAGGTGACTTTATATAACAGCAGTATGTGTTCACGGAGGTGACTTTATATAACAGCAGTATGTGTTCACGGAGGTGACTTTATATAACAGCAGTATGTGTTCATGGAGGTGACTTTATATAACAGCAGTATGTGTTCACGGAGGTGACTTTATATAACAGCAGTATGTGTTCACGGTGACTTTATATAACAGCAGTATGTGTTCACGGAGGTGACTTTATATAACAGCAGTATGTGTTCACGGAGGTGACTTTATATAACAGCAGTATGTGTTCACAGTGACTTTATATAACAGCAGTATGTGTTCACAGTGACTTTATATAACAGCAGTATGTGTTCACGGAGGTGACTTTATATAACAGCAGTATGTGTTCACGGTGGTGACTTTATATAACAGTAGTATGTGTTCACGGAGGTGACTTTATATAACAGTAGTATGTGTTCACGGAGGTGACTTTATATAACAGCAGTATGTGTTCACAGTGACTTTATATAACAGCAGTATGTGTTCACGGAGGTGACTTTATATAACAGCAGTATGTGTTCACGGTGACTTTATATAACAGCAGTATGTGTTCACGGAGGTGACTTTATATAACAGCAGTATGTGTTCACAGTGACTTTATATAACAGCAGTATGTGTTCACAGAGGTGACTTTATATAACAGCAGTATGTGTTCACGGAGGTGACTTTATATAACAGCAGTATGTGTTCACGGTGACTTTATATAACAGCAGTATGTGTTCACGGAGGTGACTTTATATAACAGCAGTATGTGTTCACGGAGGTGACTTTATATAACAGCAGTATGTGTTCACGGAGGTGACTTTATATAACAGCAGTATGTGTTCACGGAGGTGACTTTATATAACAGCAGTATGTGTTCACGGTGACTTTATATAACAGCAGTATGTGTTCACGGAGGTGACTTTATATAACAGCAGTATGTGTTCACGGAGGTGACTTTATATAACAGCAGTATGTGTTCACGGTGACTTTATATAACAGCAGTGTGTGTTCATGGAGGTGACTTTATATAACAGCAGTGTGTGTTCATGGAGGTGACTTTATATAACAGCAGTATGTGTTCACGGAGGTGACTTTATATAACAGCAGTGTGTGTTCATGGAGGTGACTTTATATAACAGCAGTATGTGTTCACGGAGCTGCCCCATCAGTTTATTTTATTATTAAACAGTACTTCCGCATCAAGAACATGCTGCCGGCGCTATTTTCTCTCTGACCCGAGAAAGACGTGGAAAAAAAAAAACATGTTAATTAGATTTATCGTGGCCAGAAAAATGATCGAGCTAATTTTAATTATCATGCGATTAATTGATTTATTGACTATCATGACAGGCCTACACACACACAGAAACATACCCCTGGTCTCTCTCAGTCCCCCGGTCTCTCTCTGGTCTCTCTCAGTCCCCCGGTCTCTCTCTGGTCTCTCTCAGTCCCCCGGTCTCTCTCTGGTCTCTCTCAGTCCCCCGGTCTCTCTCTGGTCTCTCTCAGTCCCCCGGTCTCTCTCTGGTCTCTCTCAGTCCCCTGGTCTCTCTCTGGTCTCTCTCTCAGTCCCCCGGTCTCTCTCTGGTCTCTCTCAGTCCCCCGGTCTCTCTCTGGTCTCTCTCAGTCCCCCGGTCTCTCTCTGGTCTCTCTCAGTCCCCTGGTCTCTCTCTGGTCTCTCTCTCAGTCCCCTGGTCTCTCTCTGGTCTCTCTCTCAGTCCCCTGGTCTCTCTCTCAGTCCCCTGGTCTCTCTCTGGTCTCTCTCAGTCCCCTGGTCTCTCTCTCAGTCCCCTGGTCTCTCTCTCAGTCCCCTGGTCTCTCTCTCAGTCCCCTGGTCTCTCAGTCCCCTGGTCTCTCTCTCAGTCCCCTGGTCTCTCTCTCAGTCCCCTGGTCTCTCTCTCAGTCCCCTGGTCTCTCTCTCAGTCCCCTGGTCTCTCAGTCCCCTGGTCTCTCTCTCAGTCCCCTGGTCTCTCAGTCCCCTGGTCTCTCTCTCAGTCCCCTGGTCTCAGTCCCCTGGTCTCCCTCAGGTCAGTGGAATCCCAAAGACTGGTCGGCCTTGCAGGTGTTCAGGCTGAGCCTCATGACCTCGGAGGTCATCGCCATGGAGACGCAGACCCAGAGGCGGGGCATCAAGGTCATCTACGACCTGCAGGGCTGGTGCTTAGGCCACGCCCTCCAGGTCACACCCTCCCTGGCCCGAAAGATCTCCTCCGTGCTCTCGGTAACAAAACCTCAGACTTTATCAGACTGTAGACCCAGGACTGAAGCTGTAGACCCAGGACTGAAGCTGTAGACCCAGGACTGAGGCTGTAGACCCAGGACTGAGGCTGTAGACCCAGGACTGAGGCTGTAGACCCAGGACTGAGGCTGTAGACCCAGGACTGAGGCTGTAGACCCAGGACTGAGGCTGTAGACCCAGGACTGAGGCTGTAGACCCAGGACTGAGGCTGTAGACCCAGGACTGAGGCTGTAGACCCAGGACTGAGGCTGTAGACCCAGGACTGAGGCTGTAGACCCAGGACTGAGGCTGTAGACCCAGGACTGAGGCCGTAGACCCAGGACTGAGGCCGTAGACCCAGGACTGAGGCTGTAGACCCAGGACTGACTCCCTGTCTCTAGTCTCCCTCTGATCTAGGTCTCTGTGGGTCTCTGTTCCAGGCCTCGTTCCCTCTGAAGGTCCGGGGGGTCCACCTCCTCAGCATGCCTCTGCTCTTCAGACCGATCCTGGACTTCCTCAGACCCTTTCTGCCCGAAAAGATCCGCCAACGGGTCAGTGTCCACAGGGTTAGACGAGAGAGTCCGTTTGAGAGAGTCCGTTTGAGAGAGTCCGTTTGAGAGAGTCCGTTTGAGTTTGAGACAGTCCGTTTGAGAGAGTCCGTTTGAGAGAGTCCGTTTGAGAGAGTCAGTTTGAGAGTCACTTTGAGAGAGTCAGTTTGAGAGAGTCACTTTGAGAGTCACTTTGAGAGAGTCAGTTTGAGAGAGTCACTTTGAGAGTCACTTTGAGAGAGTCAGTTTGAGAGAGTCAGTTTGAGAGAGTCACTTTGAGAGTCAGTTTGAGAGAGTCACTTTGAGAGTCAGTTTGAGAGAGTCAGTTTGAGAGAGTCCATTTGAGAGAGTCAGTTTGAGAGTCAGTTTGAGAGAGTCAGTTTGAGAGAGTCCGTTTGAGAGAGTCAGTTTGAGAGAGTCAGTTTGAGAGAGTCAGTTTGAGAGAGTCAGTTTGAGAGAGTCCGTTTGAGAGTCAGTTTGAGAGAGTCAGTTTGAGAGAGTCAGTTTGAGAGAGTCACTTTGAGAGAGTCACTTTGAGTCACTTTGAGAGAGTCAGTTTGAGAGAGTCACTTTGAGAGAGTCAGTTTGAGAGAGTCAGTTTGAGAGAGTCCGTTTGAGAGAGTCCGTTTGAGAGAGTCCGTTTGAGAGAGTCAGTTTGAGAGTCACTTTGAGAGAGTCAGTTTGAGAGAGTCAGTTTGAGAGTCAGTTTGAGAGTCCGTTTGAGAGAGTCACTTTGAGAGAGTCACTTTGAGAGAGTCAGTTTGAGAGAGTCACTTTGAGAGAGTCCGTTTGAGAGAGTCAGTTTGAGAGAGTCAGTTTGAGAGAGTCAGTTTGAGAGAGTCCGTTTGAGAGAGTCAGTTTGAGAGAGTCAGTTTGAGAGAGTCAGTTTGAGAGAGTCAGTTTGAGAGAGTCCGTTTGAGAGTCAGTTTGAGAGAGTCAGTTTGAGAGAGTCAGTTTGAGAGAGTCACTTTGAGAGAGTCACTTTGAGAGAGTCAGTTTGAGAGAGTCACTTTGAGAGAGTCCGTTTGAGAGAGTCACTTTGAGAGAGTCACTTTGAGAGAGTCACTTTGAGAGAGTCACTTTGAGAGAGTCAGTTTGAGAGAGTCAGTTTGAGAGAGTCAGTTTGAGAGAGTCAGTTTGAGAGAGTCCGTTTGAGAGAGTCCGTTTGAGAGAGTCACTTTGAGAGAGTCACTTTGAGAGAGTTTGAGAGAGTCACCGTTTGAGAGAGTCACTTTGAGAGAGTCACTTTGAGAGAGTCAGTTTGAGAGAGTCACTTTGAGAGAGTCAGTTTGAGAGAGTCCGTTTGAGAGAGTCCGTTTGACTCCGTTTGAGAGAGTCACTTTGAGAGAGTCACTTTGAGTCACTTTGAGAGAGTCACTTTGAGAGAGTCAGTTTGAGAGAGTCACTTTGAGAGAGTCACTTTGAGTGAGTCACTTTGAGAGAGTCCGTTTGAGAGAGTCACTTTGAGAGAGTCAGTTTGAGAGAGTCACTTTGAGAGTCACTTTGAGAGAGTCAGTTTGAGAGAGTCAGTTTGAGAGAGTCAGTTTGAGAGTCAGTTTGAGAGAGTCAGTTTGAGAGAGTCACTTTGAGAGTCCGTTTGAGAGAGTCAGTTTGAGAGAGTCAGTTTGAGAGAGTCACTTTGAGAGAGTCACTTTGAGAGAGTCCGTTTGAGAGAGTCACTTTGAGAGAGTCCGTTTGAGAGAGTCCGTTTGAGAGAGTCCGTTTGAGAGAGTCACTTTGAGAGAGTCACTTTGAGAGAGTCACTTTGAGAGAGTCAGTTTGAGAGAGTCAGTTTGAGAGAGTCAGTTTGAGAGAGTCCGTTTGAGAGAGTCCGTTTGAGAGAGTCCGTTTGAGAGAGTCCGTTTGAGAGAGTCCGTTTGAGAGAGTCACTTTGAGAGAGTCACTTTGAGAGAGTCACTTTGAGAGTGTCACTTTGAGAGAGTCACTTTGAGAGTCAGTTTGAGAGAGTCAGTTTGAGAGTCAGTTTGAGAGAGTCAGTTTGAGAGAGTCAGTTTGAGAGAGTCACTTTGAGAGAGTCACTTTGAGAGTGTCACTTTGAGAGAGTCACTTTGAGAGAGTCACTTTGAGAGTCACTTTGAGAGTCAGTTTGAGAGTCAGTTTGAGAGAGTCAGTTTGAGAGTCAGTTTGAGAGAGTCAGTTTGAGAGAGTCAGTTTGAGAGAGTCACTTTGAGAGTCACTTTGAGAGAGTCACTTTGAGAGAGTCAGTTTGAGTCACTTTGAGAGTCAGTTTGAGAGAGTCAGTTTGAGAGTCACTTTGAGAGTCAGTTTGAGAGAGTCACTTTGAGAGAGTCAGTTTGAGTCACTTTGAGAGTCAGTTTGAGAGAGTCACTTTGAGAGAGTCAGTTTGAGAGAGTCACTTTGAGAGTCAGTTTGAGAGAGTCACTTTGAGAGTCAGTTTGAGAGAGTCAGTTTGAGAGAGTCACTTTGAGAGTCAGTTTGAGAGACTTACTTTGAGTCACTTTGTAAAAAAAGACGGTTGCTAAGACAAGCTGGAGTCGCTCCTGAATGAAGGCCTCTGATTGGTCAGTCCTTATATGGTCATATAAAACATCAAAGACAACATCAGAGAGCGATAAACCACACATCTAAGCCCAAGCTGGTGATGTCACACAAACATGAGTCAGAGCAGTTCACTTTGAAGTCAGTCTGAGCCAGTTTTAAACTTTAAGACTTTAAAACTTTAAAACTTTAAATCTGTTCTTTACAAAGTCACACATGATTAAATCACTTCAGAACAGAAGGAGATCAGCTCCTCCTGCCACTGGTTTCATTACATACTGTAGCATCTGGGTTAGCATCTATACTGTAGCATCTGGGTTAGCATCTGGGTTAGCATCTATACTGTAGCATCTGGGTTAGCATCTATACTGTAGCATCTGGGTTAGCATCTGGGTTAGCATCTATACTGTAGCATCTGGGTTAGCATCTATACTGTAGCATCTGGGTTAGCATCTGGGTTAGCATCTATACTGTAGCATCTGGGTTAGCATCTATACTGTAGCATCTGGGTTAGCATCTATACTGTAGCATCTGGGTTAGCATCTGGGTTAGCATCTATACTGTAGCATCTGGGTTAGCATCTATACTGTAGCATCTGGGTTAGCATCTGGGTTAGCATCTATACTGTAGCATCTGGGTTAGCATCTATACTGTAGCATCTGGGTTAGCATCTATACTGTAGCATCTGGGTTAGCATCTATACTGTAGCATCTGGGTTAGCATCTGGGTTAGCATCTATACTGTAGCATCTGGGTTAGCATCTATACTGTAGCATCTGGGTTAGCATCTGGGTTAGCATCTATACTGTAGCATCTGGGTTAGCATCTATACTGTAGCATCTGGGTTAGCATCTGGGTTAGCATCTATACTGTAGCATCTGGGTTAGCATCTATACTGTAGCATCTGGGTTAGCATCTATACTGTAGCATCTGGGTTAGCATCTATACTGTAGCATCTGGGTTAGCATCTGGGTTAGCATCTATACTGTAGCATCTGGGTTAGCATCTATACTGTAGCATCTGGGTTAGCATCTATACTGTAGCATCTGGGTTAGCATCTATACTGTAGCATCTGGGTTAGCATCTATACTGTAGCATCTGGGTTAGCATCTGGGTTAGCATCTGGGTTAGCATCTATACTGTAGCATCTGGGTTAGCATCTATACTGTAGCATCTGGGTTAGCATCTATACTGTAGCATCTGGGGTTAGCATCTGGGGTTAGCTTCTGTGGTCAGCATCTGGGGTTAGCATCAGGGGTTAGCATCTGTGGTTAGCATCTGTGGTTAGCATTTTGGGTTAGCATCTGTGGTTAGCATCTGTGGTTAGCATCTGTGGTTAGCATCTGGGGTTAGCATCTGTGGTTAGCATCTGTGGTTAGCATCTGTGGTTAGCATCTGTGGTTAGCATCTGGGGTTAGCATCTGTGGTTAGCATCTGTGGTTAGCATCTGGGGTTAGCATCTGGGGTTAGCATCTGGGGTTAGCATCTGTGGTTAGCATTTTGGGTTAGCATCTGTGGTTAGCATCTGTGGTTAGCATCTGTTGTTAGCATCTGGGGTTAGCATCTGGGGTTAGCATCTGTGGTTAGCATCTGTGGTTAGCATCTGTGGTTAGCATTTTGGGTTAGCATCTGTGGTTAGCATCTGTGGTTAGCATTTTGGGTTAGCATCTGTGGTTAGTGTGCATTTATACCGGATGCTAACGCTAACCCTGCTCTGCTCAGATCCACGTTCACGGCTCAGACTTCTGCCACTCTCTCCGGGACTTCTTCTCTGCTCCTGTTTTGCCGCCGGAGTACGGAGGGGAGGGGCTTAGCGTGGAGGAGGCGTGTCAGGCCTGGACCAATCAGCTGCTGCGGTCCGAGAGCCTTCTGCAGAGGATCGCCTCTCACCCCACGGGAGATATCCACCAGGACCAAGACCAGGACCAGGACCAAGACCAGGACCAAGACCAGGACCAGGACCAGGACCAGGACCAAGACCAGGACCAAGACCAGGACCAAGACCAGGACCAAGACCAGGACCAAGACCAGGACCAAGACCAGGACCAAGACCAGGACCAAGACCAGGACCAGGACCAGGACCAAGTCCTAAAGCACCAGGACCCGGGCCACCAGATCAGCTCGGACTGACGGAGGACAGGCAGGTCTACAGCAGAGGTCTCAGACTGGTCCTGAACGAGGTCTAAAGGGTCTGAGGGAAAGTTGTCGACATCCGGCTCAAAAACTATGTTTTTATTCTACTTTTAATCATTTTGACTCAACAAAACTGGAGACTTTAAAGGAGATATGTTTGTCATAAGGTTTTAATTATGTTGTTTTTAGATCCATCCAAGCTGATCTCAAGAACTTCTGTCCATGTCCTGGACTGAGGCTGTAGACCCAGGACTGAGGCTGTAGACCCAGGACTGAGGCTGTAGACCCAGGACTGAGGCTGTAGACCCAGGACTGAGGCTGTTTACTTTTTTTTAATCACAAATATGAGATGTTTGTTTTAAAACCTTGAATGCACCTTTTTAATGTTTTTAAATTAAGTTGTAACTGACTCTAACGATAGAACTTTATATATTTGGATGAAAATAATGGAGACAAATGTGTTTGGATGAGTGTGTGACATCACCACAGTGTGACATCACCACAGTGTGACATCACCACAGTGTGACATCACAGTCTTCATGTGTAAGAGTCTGATTTGAACATAAGCTGGAGCCAGTTTCCTTATATGGGCATTAGTTCCGGGCAGACATGTTGCTAAGACGGTTGCTAAGGAAAGCTGGCGTTTCCCCTGAATGAAGGCCTCTGATTGGTCAGTCCTTATATGGTCGTATCTGGATTTACAAAAAGCAGGATCTCAGAGAGAAATAAACCAGATTTAAACCCAAAATGGTGATGTCACACAAAAGTTACTGAGAGGAGTTTACTTTGACATGAAGTCAGTAGGAGCCAGACTTCACCATGAGCACTTTGTTAGCATTGTTAGCACTTTGTTAGCATTGTTAGCACTGTTAGCACTGTCCTGTGAACAGTTTGGCTTCGTGTGATTCTGAACCAAATGTCTGAAGAATGTGTGTTATATTTGTATTAAAACATAAATCAATTATTGATTGACTGCGGAACCTTCCGCAGTGTCTCTCTCTGGTCTCTCTCTCTGGTCTCTCTCTGGTCTCTCTCTCTGGTCTCTCTCTCTGGTCTCTCTCTGGTCTCTCTCTCTCTGGTCTCTCTCTCTCTGGTCTCTCTCTGGTCTCTCTCTGGTCTCTCTCTCTGGTCTCTCTCTCTGGTCTCTCTCTCTGGTCTTAGTCTGTGGTCTCTCTCTCTGGTCTCTCTCTCTGGTCTCTCTCTCTCTGGTCTCTCTCTCTCTGGTCTCTCTCTGGTCTCTCTCTGGTCTCTCTATCTGGTCTCTCTCTCTGGTCTCTCTCTCTGGTCTCTCTCTCTGGTCTCTCTCTCTCTGGTCTCTCTCTCTGGTCTCTCTCTCTGGTCTCTCTCTCTGGTCTCTCTCTGGTCTCTCTCTCTGGTCTCTCTCTCTGGTCTCTCTCTCTGGTCTTAGTCTGTGGTCTCTCTCTCTGGTCTCTCTCTCTGGTCTCTCTCTCTGGTCTCTCTCTCTGGTCTTAGTCTGTGGTCTCTCTCTCTGGTCTCTCTCTCTGGTCTCTCTCTGGTCTCTCTCTGGTCTCTCTCTGGTCTCTCTCTCTGGTCTCTCTCTGGTCTCTCTCTGGTCTCTCTCTGGTCTCTCTCTGGTCTCTCTCTGGTCTCTCTCTCTGGTCTCTCTCTCTCTGGTCTCTCTCTGGTCTCTCTCTCTCTGGTCTCTCACTGGTCTCTCTCTGGTCTCTCTCTCTGGTCTCTCTCTGGTCTCTCTCTCTGGTCTCTCTCTCTGGTCTCTCTCTGGTCTCTCTCTCTGGTCTCTCTCTGGTCTCTCTCTGGTCTCTCTGGTCTCTCTGGTCTCTCTCTCTGGTCTCTCTCTCTGGTCTTAGTCTGTGGTCTCTCTCTCTGGTCTCTCTCTCTGGTCTCTCTCTCTCTGGTCTCTCTCTCTCTGGTCTCTCTCTGGTCTCTCTCTGGTCTCTCTCTCTCTGGTCTCTCTCTCTCTGGTCTCTCTCTGGTCTCTCTCTGGTCTCTCTCTCTGGTCTCTCTCTCTGGTCTCTCTCTCTGGTCTCTCTCTCTGGTCTCTCTCTCTGGTCTCTCTCTCTGGTCTCTCTCTCTGGTCTTAGTCTGTGGTCTCTCTCTCTGGTCTCTCTCTCTGGTCTCTCTCTCTGGTCTCTCTCTCTGGTCTTAGTCTGTGGTCTCTCTCTCTGGTCTCTCTCTCTGGTCTCTCTCTCTGGTCTCTCTCTCTGGTCTTAGTCTGTGGTCTCTCTCTCTGGTCTCTCTCTCTGGTCTCTCTCTCTGGTCTCTCTCTCTGGTCTTAGTCTGTGGTCTCTCTCTCTGGTCTCTCTCTCTGGTCTCTCTCTCTGGTCTCTCTCTCTGGTCTCTCTCTCTGGTCTCTCTCTCTGGTCTCTCTCTCTGGTCTCTCTCTCTGGTCTCTCTCTCTCTGGTCTCTCTCTCTGGTCTCTCTCTCTCTCTGGTCTCTCTCTCTGGTCTCTCTCTCTGGTCTCTCTCTCTGGTCTCTCTCTCTGGTCTCTCTCTCTGGTCTCTCTCTCTCTGGTCTCTCTCTCTGGTCTCTCTCTCTCCTGGTCTCTCTCTCTGGTCTCTCTCTCTGGTCTCTCTCTCTCTGGTCTCTCTCTCTGGTCTCTCTCTCTGGTCTCTCTCTCTGGTCTCTTGGTCTCTCTCTGGTCTCTCTCTCTGGTCTCTCTCTCTGGTCTCTCTTTCTGGTCTCTCTCTCTGGTCTCTCTCTCTGGTCTCTCTCTCTGGTCTCTCTCTCTGGTCTCTCTCTCTGGTCTTAGTCTATGGTCTCTCTCTCTGGTCTCTCTCTCTGGTCTCTCTCTCTGGTCTCTCTCTCTGGTCTCTCTCTCTCTGGTCTCTCTCTCTGGTCTCTCTCTCTGGTCTCTCTCTCTGGTCTCTCTCTGGTCTCTCTCTCTGGTCTCTCTCTCTGGTCTCTCTCTGGTCTCTCTCTGGTCTCTCTCTGGTCTCTCTCTGGTCTCTCTCTCTGGTCTCTCTCTGGTCTCTCTCTCTGGTCTCTCTCTCTGGTCTCTCTCTGGTCTCTCTCTCTGGTCTCTCTCTGGTCTCTCTCTGGTCTCTCTCTGGTCTCTCTGGTCTCTCTCTCTGGTCTCTCTCTCTGGTCTTAGTCTGTGGTCTCTCTCTCTGGTCTCTCTCTCTGGTCTCTCTCTCTCTGGTCTCTCTCTCTCTGGTCTCTCTCTGGTCTCTCTCTGGTCTCTCTCTCTGGTCTCTCTCTCTGGTCTCTCTCTCTGGTCTTAGTCTGTGGTCTCTCTATCTGGTCTCTCTCTCTGCTCTCTCTCTCTGGTCTCTCTCTCTCTGGTCTCTCTCTCTGGTCTCTCTCTCTGGTCTCTCTCTCTGGTCTCTCTCTGGTCTCTCTCTCTGGTCTCTCTCTCTGGTCTCTCTCTCTGGTCTTAGTCTGTGGTCTCTCTCTCTGGTCTCTCTCTCTGGTCTCTCTCTCTGGTCTTAGTCTGTGGTCTCTCTCTCTGGTCTCTCTCTCTGGTCTCTCTCTGGTCTCTCTCTGGTCTCTCTCTGGTCTCTCTCTCTGGTCTCTCTCTGGTCTCTCTCTGGTCTCTCTCTGGTCTCTCTCTGGTCTCTCTCTCTGGTCTCTCTCTCTCTGGTCTCTCTCTGGTCTCTCTCTCTCTGGTCTCTCTCTGGTCTCTCTCTGGTCTCTCTCTCTGGTCTCTCTCTGGTCTCTCTCTCTGGTCTCTCTCTCTGGTCTCTCTCTGGTCTCTCTCTCTGGTCTCTCTCTGGTCTCTCTCTGGTCTCTCTGGTCTCTCTCTCTGGTCTCTCTCTCTGGTCTTAGTCTGTGGTCTCTCTCTCTGGTCTCTCTCTCTGGTCTCTCTCTCTCTGGTCTCTCTCTCTCTGGTCTCTCTCTGGTCTCTCTCTGGTCTCTCTCTCTCTGGTCTCTCTCTGGTCTCTCTCTGGTCTCTCTCTCTGGTCTCTCTCTCTGGTCTCTCTCTCTGGTCTCTCTCTCTGGTCTCTCTCTCTGGTCTCTCTCTCTGGTCTCTCTCTCTGGTCTTAGTCTGTGGTCTCTCTCTCTGGTCTCTCTCTCTGGTCTCTCTCTCTGGTCTCTCTCTCTGGTCTTAGTCTGTGGTCTCTCTCTCTGGTCTCTCTCTCTGGTCTCTCTCTCTGGTCTCTCTTTCTGGTCTCTCTCTCTGGTCTCTCTCTCTGGTCTCTCTCTCTGGTCTCTCTCTCTGGTCTCTCTCTCTGGTCTTAGTCTATGGTCTCTCTCTCTGGTCTCTCTCTCTGGTCTCTCTCTCTCTGGTCTCTCTCTCTGGTCTCTCTCTCTGGTCTCTCTCTCTGGTCTCTCTCTCTGGTCTCTCTCTCTGGTCTCTCTTTCTGGTCTCTCTCTCTGGTCTCTCTCTCTGGTCTCTCTCTCTGGTCTCTCTCTCTGGTCTCTCTCTCTGGTCTTAGTCTATGGTCTCTCTCTCTGGTCTCTCTCTCTGGTCTCTCTCTCTGGTCTCTCTCTCTGGTCTCTCTCTCTCTGGTCTCTCTCTCTGGTCTCTCTCTCTGGTCTCTCTCTCTGGTCTCTCTCTCTGGTCTCTCTTTCTGGTCTCTCTCTCTGGTCTCTCTCTCTGGTCTCTCTCTCTGGTCTCTCTCTGGTCTCTCTCTGGTCTCTCTCTCTGGTCTCTCTCTCTGGTCTCTCTCTCTGGTCTTAGTCTGTGGTCTCTCTCTCTGGTCTCTCTCTCTGGTCTCTCTCTCTCTGGTCTCTCTCTCTCTGGTCTCTCTCTGGTCTCTCTCTGGTCTCTCTATCTGGTCTCTCTCTCTGGTCTCTCTCTCTGGTCTCTCTCTCTGGTCTCTCTCTCTCTGGTCTCTCTCTCTGGTCTCTCTCTCTGGTCTCTCTCTCTGGTCTCTCTCTGGTCTCTCTCTCTGGTCTCTCTCTCTGGTCTCTCTCTCTGGTCTTAGTCTGTGGTCTCTCTCTCTGGTCTCTCTCTCTGGTCTCTCTCTCTGGTCTCTCTCTCTGGTCTTAGTCTGTGGTCTCTCTCTCTGGTCTCTCTCTCTGGTCTCTCTCTGGTCTCTCTCTGGTCTCTCTCTGGTCTCTCTCTCTGGTCTCTCTCTGGTCTCTCTCTGGTCTCTCTCTGGTCTCTCTCTGGTCTCTCTCTGGTCTCTCTCTCTGGTCTCTCTCTCTCTGGTCTCTCTCTGGTCTCTCTCTCTCTGGTCTCTCACTGGTCTCTCTCTGGTCTCTCTCTCTGGTCTCTCTCTGGTCTCTCTCTCTGGTCTCTCTCTCTGGTCTCTCTCTGGTCTCTCTCTCTGGTCTCTCTCTGGTCTCTCTCTGGTCTCTCTGGTCTCTCTCTCTGGTCTCTCTCTCTGGTCTTAGTCTGTGGTCTCTCTCTCTGGTCTCTCTCTCTGGTCTCTCTCTCTCTGGTCTCTCTCTCTCTGGTCTCTCTCTGGTCTCTCTCTGGTCTCTCTCTCTCTGGTCTCTCTCTCTCTGGTCTCTCTCTGGTCTCTCTCTGGTCTCTCTCTCTGGTCTCTCTCTCTGGTCTCTCTCTCTGGTCTCTCTCTCTGGTCTCTCTCTCTGGTCTCTCTCTCTGGTCTTAGTCTGTGGTCTCTCTCTCTGGTCTCTCTCTCTGGTCTCTCTCTCTGGTCTCTCTCTCTGGTCTTAGTCTGTGGTCTCTCTCTCTGGTCTCTCTCTCTGGTCTCTCTCTCTGGTCTCTCTCTCTCTGGTCTCTCTCTCTGGTCTCTCTCTCTGGTCTCTCTCTCTGGTCTCTCTCTCTGGTCTCTCTTTCTGGTCTCTCTCTCTGGTCTCTCTCTCTGGTCTCTCTCTCTGGTCTCTCTCTCTGGTCTCTCTCTCTGGTCTTAGTCTATGGTCTCTCTCAGTGTGGACGGGTCCCAGCTCAAAAGTGTCCAAAATGACGTGCGCTGACATGCTGCAGTACCACCCCGGGCCTGTGGGGGTGGACCCAGAAGTAGAATTAGCCAATGCTAACATATAGCATCTTCTTACCTCTGGAAAACGTGTTTACAGGATGGACCTAAAGTTGTCTCTTGGCCCAAAGCTCCGTTCCACATGTGTGTCAATGCTGAGTGTTCTGGACCAGTCTAGTTTAGTCGCTGTGGACTTTTGAAGTCTCTCGTTCAAATGAATGGGGCTCGTGCAGCTGACGCATGCGCAGATGTGTTTTTCACATTTTCCAGCCCCCGCGGCCATTTTGAATCACTCCATGACAGGCCAATGTTTGGCCCTTTAGTTAGAACGGCCCAGATAGGCCTGACTACGTCTGTAAATATAAACAGTCTATGATGTTTCTCTCTCTCAGGTCTCCGTACATAACTGTGTGTGTGAAGACAGAAGACCAGTCCTTTGAGCCTAAAGAGGAAGAGGAGGAGAGAGGAGAGGAAGAGGAAGAGGAGGAGGAGGAGAGAGGAGAGGAAGAGGAGGAGGAGGAGGAGAGAGGAGAGGAAGAGGAAGAGGAGGAGGAGGAGAGAGGAGAGGAGGAGAGAGGAGAGGAAGAGGAAGAGGAGGAGAGAGGAGAGGAAGAGGAGGAGGAGGAGAGAGGAGAGGAAGAGGAGGAGGAGGAGAGAGGAGAGGAAGAGGAGGAGAGAGGAGAGGAAGAGGAGGAGGAGAAGGAGGAGAGAGGAGAGGAAGAGGAAGAGGAGGAGGAGGAGGAGAGAGGAGAGGAAGAGGAGGAGGAGGAGAGAGGAGAGGAAGAGGAGGAGGAGGAGGAGAGAGGAGAGAACCTGAGCTCAGAGGCAGAGGGAGGGCACTCTTCAGGCCCAGACTCTGATGAAGACTACAAAGCTCCTCACAGATCAGATGAAGACCAGAACCTGCAGCTCCAGACCTCTGCACCTGGTGTGTCCTCCACCTCTGCCTCAGAGACCAGGGCCGCTGTGGACCTGAAAGACGGGTCCGGAACAGCCGAAGGGTCCGAGGGGAAGACGTACAAGTGTCCTTTTTGTCACAAGATACTGAAGAGGAAACTCAATCTGCAACATCACATTCGAATCCACACAGGAGAGAGACCTTACAGCTGCTCAGTTTGTAACAAAACATTTTCTCGTCAGAGTTATCTCGCCACACATAGTAAAATCCACACAGGAGAGAGACCTTACAGCTGTTCGGTCTGTAACAAAAGATTCACCCAGAAGAGCTGTCTGGATGTGCATAACAGAGTGCACACGGAGGAGAGACCTTACAGCTGTTCCATCTGTGACAAAACATTCACCCATAAAGGGCATCTCAATGAACACAGTAAAATCCACTCAGGAGAAAGACCTTACAGCTGCTCAGTCTGCGACAAGTCCTTTTCCCATAAGAGTCATTTAGTTGTACATGGGAGAGTGCACACCGGAGAACGACCTTACTGCTGCTCAGTCTGTGGCAAGTTGTTCTCCCGTAAATCGAATCTGGACGTACATAGTAAAAAGCACACTGGTGAGAGACCCTTCAGCTGCTCAGACTGCGACAAAGCCTTTTACACCAAATCAGATCTGCAGATACACATCAACACGCACACTGGTGAGAGACCCTTCAGCTGCTCAGCCTGTCACAAAACATTTGGCCAGTTAAGTACTCTCAACAACCACAGGAAGACGCATGCAGCCAAAGGACCCTTCAGCTGCTCAGTCTGTCATCGACACTTCCTGAAAGCGGCAGAACTGAGGAGCCACATGCACCAGCACACAACAGACCAGTCCCTAGTCCCAGACCCTCTCCTGGTCTTTCCCTCAAACCTGGTCTTAGTCCCCATCGAGGATCACACCCCGGACTAGTCCTCAGGTCCAGGGTCTGAGGCTGGAGACTAGTCCTCAGGTCCAGGGTCTGAGGCTGGAAACTAGTCCTCAGGTCCAGAGTCCAGGGTCTGAGGCTGGAGACTAGTCCTCAGGTCCAGGGTCTGAGGCTGGAGACTAGTCCTCAGGTCCAGAGTCCAGGGTCTGAGGCTGGAGACTAGTCCTCAGGTCCAGGGTCTGAGGCTGGAGACTAGTCCTCAGGTCCAGAGTCCAGGTCTGAGGCTGGAGACTAGTCCTCAGGTCCAGAGTCCAGGTCTGAGGCTGGAGACTAGTCCTCAGGTCCAGAGTCCATGGTCTGAGGCTGGAGACTAGTCCTCAGGTCCAGGGTCTGAGGCTGGAGACTAGTCCTCAGGTCCAGGGTCTGAGGCTGGAGACTAGTCCTCAGGTCCAGGGTCTGAGGCTGGAGACTAGTCCTCAGGTCCAGAGTCCAGGGTCTGAGGCTGGAGACTAGTCCTCAGGTCCAGGGTCTGAGCCCGGAGACTAGTCCTCAAGTCCAGAGTCCAGGGTCTGAGGCTGGAGACTAGTCCTCAGGTCCAGAGTCCAGGTCTGAGGCTGGAGACTAGTCCTCAAGTCCAGAGTCCAGGTCTGAGGCTGGAGACTAGTCCTCAGGTCCAGAGTCCAGGTCTGAGGCTGGAGACTAGTCCTCAGGTCCAGAGTCCAGGTCTGAGGCTGGAGACTAGTCCTCAGGTCCAGAGTCCATGGTCTGAGGCTGGAGACTAGTCCTCAGGTCCAGAGTCCAGGTCTGAGGCTGGAGACTAGTCCTCAGGTCCAGAGTCCAGGTCTGAGGCTGGAGACTAGTCCTCAAGTCCAGAGTCCAGGTCTGAGGCTGGAGACTAGTCCTCAGGTCCAGAGTCCAGGTCTGAGGCTGGAGACTAGTCCTCAGGTCCAGAGTCCATGGTCTGAGGCTGGAGACTAGTCCTCAGGTCCAGAGTCCAGGTCTGAGGCTGGAGACTAGTCCTCAGGTCCAGAGTCCAGGTCTGAGGCTGGAGACTAGTCCTCAGGTCCAGAGTCCAGGTCTGAGGCTGGAGACTAGTCCAGAGTCCAGGTCTGAGGCTGGAGACTAGTCCTCAGGTCCAGAGTCCATGGTCTGAGGCTGGAGACTAGTCCTCAGGTCCAGAGTCCAGGTCTGAGGCTGGAGACTAGTCCTCAGGTCCAGAGTCCAGGTCTGAGGCTGGAGACTAGTCCTCAGGTCCAGAGTCCAGGTCTGAGGCTGGAGACTAGTCCAGAGTCCAGGTCTGAGGCTGGAGACTAGTCCTCAGGTCCAGAGTCCAGGGTTTTGAGTCCCATCAGTGCGCTCATGGAACAGACAGACGACATTAAAAACATCAAGTCAGACTAACACCAGTCTGGTCTTACCATGTGTAAACTCTGGTCCATGATCATCTCCTACATGTACGTCTGGTCTTACCATGTGTAACCTCTGGTCCGTGATCATTCCTTGTGCGTAGGTTGCTGATATGGAACCAGATACTAAAGTGTGATGGAAACACTACATTTGAAATAATACTAAATATATGATGTATTAGAAGAGAGAGAGCACAGAGGCTGCTCTCTCTCTGTCTCCCCTGGTCCTCTACTGCACCAACCTGGTCCTGGTCCGGGTGGTCCCTGCAGAACCATCAACACACGTCTGATGGACTCGTGAGGAAGAGAGAGAGTCGTCCTCAGAGACAGAGCCACAGGATTCTACTCTCTCTCTGTTCAACTCTTTTACTTTAGAAACCAGTGGCTTTTAATAAATCAACACGATCTGACCGCTCATGTCTCTCTGGTCTCTCTCTGGTCTCTCTCCCTGGTCTCTCTCTGGTCTCTCTCTCTGGTCTCTCTCTGGTCTCTCTCTGGTCTCTCCCTGGTCTCTCTCTCTGGTCTCTCTCTGGTCTCTCCCTGGTCTCTCTCTGGTCTCTCTCTGGTCTCTCTCCCTGGTCTCTCTCTGGGTCTCTCTCTGGTCTCTCTCTCTGGTCTCTCTCCCTGGTCTCTCTCTGGTCTCTCTCTGGTCTCTCTCCCTGGTCTCTCTCTGGTCTCTCTCTGGTCTCTCTCTGGGTCTCTCTCTGGTCTCTCTCTGGTCTCTCTCCCTGGTCTCTCTCTGGTCTCTCTCTGGTCTCTCTCTCTGGTCTCTCTCTGGTCTCTCTCTGGTCTCTCTCTGGTCTCTCCCTGGTCTCTCTCTGGTCTCTCTCTCTGGTCTCTCTCTGGTCTCTCCCTGGTCTCTCTCTGGTCTCTCTCTGGTCTCTCTCTGGTCTCTCTCTCTGGTCTCTCTCTCTGGTCTCTCTCTGGGTCTCTCTCTGGTCTCTCTCCCTGGTCTCTCTCTGGTCTCTCTCTGGTCTCTCTCTCTGGGTCTCTCTCTGGGTCTCTCTCTGGTCTCTCTCCCTGGTCTCTCTCTGGTCTCTCTCTGGTCTCTCTCTCTGGTCTCTCCCTGGTCTCTCTCTCTGGTCTCTCTCTGGTCTCTCTCTGGTCTCTCTCTCTGGTCTCTCTCTGGTCTCTCTCTGGTCTCTCTCTGGTCTCTCTCTGGTCTCTCTCTCTGGTCTCTCCCTGGTCTCTCTCTCTGGTCTCTCTCTGGTCTCTCTCTGGTCTCTCTCTCTGGTCTCTCTCTGGTCTCTCTCTGGTCTCTCTCTCTGGTCTCTCTCCCTGGTCTCTCTCTGGTTTCTGGTCTCCTGTATTTGGTGTACCTGTGTGTGTCTGTGACTGTGAATGTGTGTGTGTGTGTCTGTGTGTGTGTGTGTGTGTGTGTGTGTGTGTGTCTGATTTTGGGAAGTCACGTGGACATCAGAGTTTCCGAGACCACGTGACCGCGGCCTCAGTCCGGTGCTGAGGAACGAGCTCTGTCCAATCCGCGTTAATGGTCGCGTCCAAAATCTCTTCTCCCGTCCTCTCTTGTGTGTTCCTCTTTCCTCGTCCTCGCCACAGTTCAGCACTAACTCCTCACTCCTCTCTGTTTTCTGCTTCTTCTTCGTGGGGGGTGAATGTACCTCTGCCACACGTTCTACAGAAGGACGCGTGAAGAGCCGAGGACATAAAGAAGCGCAAGTGACGACAGGTTTGAGACACGGCCCTGACTGTTTCCGGAGCCTCCACCGGAAGGGCGTCTCTTTGAGGTTAGCTTGCTAGCTCGCTGCTAACTCGCCGCTGACTCGCCGCTAGCTCGCTGCTAAAGCTCAAACTGTCTGGTAAAAATGGAACGTTTTCAGAGTAAAGAGCAACCAGAAGAAGTGCCCGAGACGTCTCAGAGCTGGGAGCGGGAGGAGCACGGCGTCAAACAGGAGGAAGAGCCGCAGCCCGTGTAAGAGCCGCAGGAGCCGGAGATGCTAATGTTGTGCTAGCTTCATTCATATGTTGTTGTCAGTACAGACGGGAATATCTGAGTACTAACTATAACTGGAGTAGATTGCGTTTCCTTTGGTGGTGTCTGTTTCTAACAATATGTTGGGATTAGTTTGATCAGACTCAGGGCAGTGTTCATCCCGCTCCACACGGACCAATGTCTTCATGTGTTTGTTATTATTGAATTCTGCCTCTGCCTTCGACTCCTCTGAGCCAAAGAATCATTTGTTTTATAAACCTGAGGCTATAGCTTTATCCTCAGGCTTTAAGATTTATGAACACCACGCGGTCTCTCTCTCTTTGGTCTCTCTCTCTGGTCTCTCTCTGGTCTCTCTCTGGTCTCTCTCTGGTCTCTCTCTCTGGTCTCTCTCTGGTCTCTCTCTGGTCTCTCTCTCTGGTCTCTCTCTCTGGTCTCTCTCTGGTCTCTCTCTGGTCTCTCTCTGGTCTCTCTCTCTGGTCTCTCTCTCTGGTCTCTCTCTCTGGTCTCTCTCTCTGGTCTCTCTCTGGTCTCTCTCTCTGGTCTCTCTCTCCGGTCTCTCTCTGGTCTCTCTCTGGTCTCTCGCTGGTCCTCTCTCTGGTCTCTCTCTGGTCTCTCTCTGGTCTCTCTCTGGTCTCTCGCTGGTCTCTCTCGCTGGTCTCTCTCTGGTCTCTCTCTGGTCTCTCTCTCTGGTCTCTCTCTGGTCTCTCTCTGGTCTCTCTCTGGTCTCACTCTGGTCTCTCTCTCTGGTCTCTCTCTCTGGTCTCTCTCTCTGGTCTCTCTCTCTGGTCTCTCTCTGGTCTCTCTCTCTGGTCTCTCTCTCCGGTCTCTCTCTCTGGTCTCTCTCTCTGGTCTCTCTCTCTGGTCTCTCTCTCTGGTCTCTCTCTCCGGTCTCTCTCTCTGGTCTCTCTCTCTGGTCTCTCTCTGGTCTCTCTCTCTGGTCTCTCTCTCTGGTCTCTCTCTGGTCTCTCTCTGGTCTCTCTCTCTGGTCTCTCTCTGGTCTCTCTCTCTGGTCTCTCTCTCTGGTCTCTCTCTGGTCTCTCTCTCTGGTCTCTCTCTCCGGTCTCTCTCTCTGGTCTCTCTCTCCGGTCTCTCTCTGGTCTCACTCTGGTCACTCTCTCTGGTCTCTCTCTGGTCTCTCTCTGGTCTCTCTCTGGTCTCTCTCTGGTCTCTCTCTGGTCTCTCTCTGGTCTCTCTCTCTGGTCTCTCTCTGGTCTCTCTCTGGTCTCTCTCTCTGGTCTCTCTCTCTGGTCTCTCTCTCTGGTCTCTCTCTCTGGTCTCTCTCTCTGGCCTCTCTCTCTGGTCTCTCACTCTGGTCTCTCTCTCTGGTCTCTCTCTCTGGTCTCTCACTCTCTCTGGTCTCTCACTCTGGTCTCTCTCTCTGGTCTCTCACTCTGGGCTCTCTCTCTGGTCTCTCTTTGGTCTTCTTGCTCTCTCACCGGGCTCTCTCTGGTCACTCTCTCTGGTCTCTCACTCTGGTCTGTCTCGCTGGTCTCTCTGCCTGGTCTCACTCTCTCTGGTCTCTCTCTCTGGTCTCTCACTCTGGTCTCTCACTCTGGTCTCTCCCTCTGGTCACTCTCTCTGGTCTCTCACTCTGGTCTCTCACTCTGGTCTCTCCCTCTGGTCACTCTCTCTGGTCTCTCTCTCTCTGGTCTCTCACTCTCTCTGGTCTCTCACTCTCTCTGGTCTCTCACTCTCTCTCTCTGGTCTCTCTCTCGTCTCTGGTCTCTCTCTCTCTGGTCTCTCACTCTCTCTGGTCTCTCACTCTGGTCTCTCTCTCTCTGGTCTCTCTGCCTGGTCTCACTCTCTCTGGTCTCTCTCTCTGGCCACTCTCTCTGGTCTCTCTCTCTGGTCTCACTCTCTCTGGTCTCTCTCTCTGGTCTCTCTCTCTGGTCTCTCTCTCTGGTCTCTCCCTCTGGGCTCTCTCTCTGGTCTCTCTTTGGTCTTCTTGCTCTCTCACCGGGCTCTCTCTGTCTGGTCTTTCTCTCCTAGAATAATCTTGATCTTGAATAATTATTTTCTTGAGTCACTCTTTTCTGAGTTTGTGCTGATATAAAACCAGGCATAAGGGTGACTATGGTCCTGGTTTATAGTTATAGTTACCCCGACATCCTTTATGTAGAGGATTTGATTTATTTGATGGGGACAAGTGTTACACAATCAACATGTGAAACACTACAACATTTATAGCCAAGGCTAGTTTGCAATGTCCGTCCCTAGGAGGGCTTTTAACACAATTAAAACACATTATACATTATAAAATTCACATTATACAAAAGCAGATGTTCTCCAACTCATTGATGCTCACACACCTGGTTTGTTTTAAAAAATCGCTTGAGTTAATGTTTAAAACCAGCCCAGTCAGAGTTCAGTTTTAGCTGAGGGCTTAAAGTTCCAGAGCTTTGCCCCCTGGACCGAGAAGACCGCCTGTCCGAATGTGGTCCTCCTGAGGGGCCTCACACTCCCGTTAGAGGAGCCCCGTGTGACGGATCTCAGAGGAACTATGACACTCAGGACGGCAGGGGCTCGACTCTGAAAACTTTTATACAATAATTTAAAATTACAGAATTTAATAAAGTGATCAACACCTGGCGATGGTGCGTTCTTATTGGCTTTCTGTCCAGTATCTTTATGGTTCTGTTGTAGAGCATTCTTACTGGTTTGATGTAGATGCTGAGGCCTGGGACCAGGGGTGATACAGAAACTTATCTGAGAAAAAAACAGGAACAAATGATGTCTTTCTAACACTTCTTTAACAAAGTGTGGTTTGCTGACGCTGCTGTTTGGATTCTCAGGTCGCTCCCAGAATACTTCGCTGTTTGTGTGAAGAAAGAGGAAGAGCCGTATGAGGCTGAGGAAGAGGAGCCGCAGGGAGAGACCGACCGAGACTCAGAGCCCGAAGAGGACTGGAGCGCCGTCGCAAGGTTTTCAGAGGACGAGGACCAGGAGCCCAAGGTCCAGTTCAGAACCATCAACGCAGCTGGACAAAGCTCAGGCCTGTCCCCAGACGTGGAGGAGAAACCTTTCAGCTGTCTCAGCTGTGGGAAGACCTTCGCCCATAAGCGCTATCTCGACGAACACATGAAAACTCACTCTGGAGAGAAACCTTTCAGCTGCACAGTTTGTAACAAATCGTATCGACGCAAGAGTCATCTGGAAGTACACAGTAAAGTACACACCGGGGAGAGACCCTTCAGCTGCTCAGTCTGCCAGCAAACATTCTACACTAACTCGCATCTGCGCGTGCATGAGAGAACCCACACAGGGGAGAGACCTTACTGCTGCCCAATCTGTCAGAAAACATTTGGTCACAAGAGCGCTCTGATCGTACACGGGAAAATACACACAGGAGAGAGACCTTACAGCTGTTCCATCTGCAACAAGACATTTAACAAGAACGGACATCTGATAGAGCATAAGAAGACACACACAGGGGAGAGACCCTACTCCTGCACCATCTGCAAAAAGAGCTTCTACACAAACACACAGCGACGCAGACACGAGAGAACACACACAGGGGAGAGACCCTACACCTGCACCGTCTGCAACAAGACGTTTATCCATCAGCGGAACCTGGTGGAACACGGGAAGATTCACTCAGGAGACCGACCTTTCACCTGTCCCTTCTGCAGCAAGACTTTCTACACAAACGGACATCTCCTGGAGCACACCAAGGTGCACACAGGAGAGAGGCCCTACAGCTGTTCAGTCTGTGACAAGACCTGCTTCACCAGCTCACACCTACGCAACCACACCAGAACTCACACAGGAGAGAAACCCTACGGCTGCTCAGTCTGCGACAAGACCTTCTACACCAACTCGCATCTGCGCAAACACATGCAGACGCACACGGGGGAGAAACCCTTCATCTGTCCCGTCTGCAGCAAGGCCTTCCCCTCCAACTCGCACCTACGCCAGCACTCCAAAATACACACAGGAGAGAGGCCTTACAGCTGCTCTTTCTGCGACAAGAAGTTTTACACCAACAAGCATCTCCGTGAGCACACGAGAATACACACAGGGGAGAGACCTTACAGCTGCTCCATCTGCACCAAGACGTTTTACACAAAGTCGCATCTAAACAGACACACGAGAACGCACACGGGAGACCTTACAGCTGCTCAGGCTGAGGCCAAACGGTGTACGCGAACAAACAGCAACACAAACGCACAAGAACGCACACAGGAAGTGGCAGACGAGACATGAGCGGCTCCAGGACAAAGGACCACCTCTTTGGAGTAAAACTGTAAATAAACATGTGACGGAACGGGACGAGAGAGCGCACGAGAGAGAGAATGTCTTTTCTGCGTATGTGTGAGAGAGAGAGGGCACGTGTGTGTGTGAGAGAGCACGTGTGTGTGTGAGAGAGAGGACGTGTGTGAGAGAGAGAGAGCGTGTGTGTGAGAGAGAGAGGACGTGTGTGAGAGAGAGGGCGTGTGTGAGAAAGCGTGTGTGAGAGGGCACGTGTGTGTGTGAGAGAGAGCGTGTGTGAGAGAGAGGACGTGTGTGTGAGAGAGAGGACGTCTGTGTGAGAGAGAGGACGTGTGTGAGAGAGAGGGCACGTGTGTGTGTGAGAGAGGACGTGTGTGAGAGAGAGGGCGCGTGTGTGAGAAAGAGAGGACGTGTGTGAGAGAGAGGGCGTGTGTGTGAGAGAGGGCGTGTGTGAGAGAGAGAGGACGTGTGTGTGAGAGAGAGGACGTGTGTGAGAGAGAGAGGACGTGTGTGTGAGAGAGAGGGCGCGTGTGTGAGAGAGAGAGGACGTGTGTGAGAGAGAGGACGTGTGTGTGAGAGAGAGGGCGCGTGTGTGAGAGAGAGAGGATGTGTGAGAGAGGGCGCGTGTGTGAGAGAGAGAGGGCGTGTGTGAGAGAGAGGACGTGTGTGAGAGAGAGAGGATGTGTGAGAGAGGACGTGTGTGAGAGAGGACGTGTGTGAGAGAGAGAGGATGTGTGAGAGAGAGAGGATGTGTGAGAGAGAGAGGACGTGTGTGAGAGAGAGGACGTGTGTGAGAGAGAGAGGATGTGTGAGAGAGGACGTGTGTGAGAGAGGACGTGTGTGAGAGAGAGAGGATGTGTGAGAGAGAGAGGATGTGTGAGAGAGAGAGGACGTGTGGTGTGAGAGAGGACGTGTGTGAGAGAGAGAGGGCGTGTGTGTGAGAGAGGGCGTGTGTGAGAGAGAGAGGGCGTGTGTGTGAGAGAGAGAGGACGTGTGTGAGAGAGAGAGGATGTGTGTGAGAGAGAGGACGTGTGTGAGAGAGAGGACGTGTGAGAGAGAGAGGACGTGTGTGAGAGAGAGGACGTGTGTGAGAGAGGACGTGTGTGTGAGAGAGGACGTGTGTGAGAGAGAGAGGGCGTGTGTGTGAGAGAGAGAGGACGTGTGTGAGAGAGAGGACGTGTGTGTGAGAGAGAGAGGGCGTGTGTGTGAGAGAGAGGACGTGTGTGTGAGAGAGAGAGGGCGTGTGTGTGAGAGAGAGAGGGCGTGTGTGTGAGAGAGAGGACGTGTGTGAGAGAGAGAGAGGGCGTGTGTGTGAGAGAGAGAGAGGACGTGTGTGAGAGAGAGAGGGCGTGTGTGTGAGAGAGAGGACGTGTGTGTGGAGAGAGAGAGGACGTGTGTGAGAGAGAGAGGGCGTGTGTGTGGAGAGAGGACGTGTGTGTGAGAGAGAGAGGGCGTGTGTGTGAGAGAGAGAGAGGACGTGTGTGAGAGAGAGAGGGCGTGTGTGTGAGAGAGAGAGGGCGTGTGTGTGAGAGAGAGAGGGCGTGTGTGTGAGAGAGAGAGGACGTGTGTGTGAGAGAGAGAGGACGTGTGTGTGAGAGAGAGAGAGGCGTGTGTGTGAGAGAGAGGACGTGTGTGTGTGAGAGAGAGAGACGTGTGTGTGTGAGAGAGAGAGGGGCGTGTGTGTGAGAGAGAGAGGGCGTGTGTGAGAGAGAGAGAGGGCGTGTGTGTGAGAGAGAGAGAGGGCGTGTGTGAGAGAGAGAGGGCGTGTGTGTGAGAGAGAGAGGGGTGTGTGAGAGAGAGAGAGGACGTGTGTGAGAGAGGACGTGTGTGAGAGAGAGGATGTGTGTGAGAGAGAGGATGTGTGTGAGAGAGAGGATGTGTGAGAGAGGACGTGTGTGTGAGAGAGAGGACGTGTGTGAGAGAGAGGACGTGTGTGAGAGAGAGAGGACGTGTGTGTGTGTGGAGAGGAGGACGTGTGTGAGAGGACGTGTGTGTGAGAGAGGGCGTGTGTGTGAGAGAGAGCGGACGTGTGTGTGAGAGAGAGAGGATGTGTGTGAGAGAGAGGACGTGTGTGAGAGAGAGGACGTGTGAGAGAGGACGTGTGTGTGAGAGAGGACGTGTGTGAGAGAGAGGATGTGTGAGAGAGGACGTGTGTGAGAGAGAGAGAGAGGACGTGTGTGTGAGAGAGGGCGTGTGTGTGAGAGAGGGCGTGTGTGTGAGAGAGAGAGGGCGTGTGTGAGAGAGAGAGGACGTGTGTGAGAGAGAGAGGATGTGTGTGAGAGAGAGAGGATGTGTGAGAGAGGACGTGTGTGCGAGAGAGGACGTGTGTGCGAGAGAGGACGTGTGTGTGCGAGAGAGGACGTGTGTGTGCGAGAGAGGACGTGTGTGTGTGAGAGAGGACGTGTGTGAGAGAGAGAGGATGTGTGTGAGAGAGAGAGGATGTGTGTGAGAGAGAGAGAGGATGTGTGAGAGAGGACGTGTGTGCGAGAGAGGACGTGTGTGCGAGAGAGGACGTGTGTGCGAGAGAGGACGTGTGTGTGCGAGAGAGGACGTGTGTGTGCGAGAGAGGACGTGTGTGCGAGAGAGGACGTGGGAAGGTGTGTGCGAGAGAGGGCGTGTGTGTGAGAGAGAGAGGGCGTGTGTGTGAGAGAGGACGTGTGTGAGAGAGAGAGGATGTGTGTGAGAGAGAGAGGATGTGTGAGAGAGGACGTGTGTGGCGAGAGAGGACGTGTGTGCGAGAGAGGACGTGTGTGCGAGAGAGGACGTGTGTGTGCGAGAGAGGACGTGTGTGTGCGAGAGAGGACGTGTGTGTGTGAGAGAGGACGTGTGTGAGAGAGAGAGGATGTGTGTGAGAGAGAGAGGATGTGTGTGAGAGAGAGAGGATGTGTGTGAGAGAGAGATGTGTGTGTGGGAGAGAGGACGTGTGTGTGCGAGAGAGGACGTGTGTGTGCGAGAGAGGACGTGTGTGTGAGAGAGGCGTGTGTGTGCGAGAGAGGACGTGTGTGCGAGAGAGGACGTGTGTGCGAGAGCTGTGGCGAGAGAGGACGTGTGTGCGAGAGAGGACGTGTGTGCGAGAGAGAGAGGACGTGTGTGTGCGAGAGAGGACGTGTGTGTGCGAGAGAGGACGTGTGTGTGCGAGAGAGGACGTGTGTGCGAGAGAGGACGTGTGTGTGCGAGAGAGGACGTGTGTGTGCGAGAGGACGTGTGTGCGAGAGAGACGTGTGTGTGTGTGAGAGAGAGGTGTGTGCGAGAGAGGACGTGTGTGTGAGAGAGAGGACGTGTGTGTGAGAGAGAGGACGTGTGTGTGTGTGAGAACGTGTGTGTGCATGATTATAATGTGCATGTTTTGCGCACACTCAATGGACACTAGTTGATCATGTATAAATGGACTGTTTTATGCATAGACTATAAGAGTGTGACATCACAGTGTGTGACGTCACATTGTGATGTCACACTGTGATGTCACACTGTGATGTCACCGTGTGTGACGTCAGTGTTAGCCTTAATGTGGAAGATTTCAAACCTCAGCTGGTTTCCATATATGGGCATAAACAGACGTGTTGCTAATGAGTCTGGCGTGTGAGTGGTCGGAGGGGGTGGGAGGCGCTGCCCCAGGGCAGCTGTGGCTACAGTAGTTTATCACCAGTGTATGATGTGAAGAGACTGAGCGTCCTGAAAAGCACTGTATGTAACTGATGATGATGATGATGATGACGAGGGAGCTTCCATAGAGCTAGCGTTAGCATTGTCCGTCTGTAAACAGTCTGATGTTTACTGATGCTTCAGCTTTCGCCAGTTCATCGTCTACAATGTGTTTGACATAAGTATCATTCCAGAAGCTTCTCGTCTAGAATTCTGGCCCATTCCTCCTCAGTGGGATGAGACAGTTGCTTCTGTAACAGTCTGATGTATTTAGTCTTTATAGTCTGTCTGCAACGTTTACTTTTGTACATTTTTGTTTCATTATTGATCTGTTTTTTCCGTGTTATTTGTAAAAAATGTGTTTAAAGAAAAGTAAATATTAAAACAATCATTTTAAACATTTGTTCATGACATCACTCAGATCAAAGGAACTCATTTACTGCACACGTGTACTTGTATACTACTGCACACGCGTACTCGTATACTACTGCACACGCGTACTCGTATACTACTGCACACGCGTACTCGTATACTACTGCACACGCGTACTAGTATACTACTGCACACGCGTACTCGTATACTACTGCACACGCGTACTCGTATACCACTGCACACGCGTACTCGTATACCACTGCACACGCGTACTCGTATACCACTGCACACGCGTACTCGTATACCACTGCACACGCGTACTCGTATACCACTGCACGCGCGTACTCGTATACCACTGCACGCGCGTACTCGTATACCACTGCACGCGCGTACTCGTATACCACTGCACGCGCGTACTCGTATACCACTGCACGCGCGTACTCGTATACCACTGCACGCGCGTACTCGTATACCACTGCACGCGCGTACTCGTATACCACTGCACGCGCGTACTCGTATACCACTGCACACGCGTACTCGTATACCACTGCACACGCGTACTCGTATACCACTGCACACGCGTACTCGTATACTACTGCACACGCGTACTCGTATACTACTGCACACGCGTACTTGTATACTACTGCACACGTGTACTTGTATATATATATATACAGTACATCTGGAAAGTATTCACGGCGCACACACTGTTTTGTTACAGCCGTAATGACAAAGTGAAAACAGATTTTTTCAAATAAAAAAACGAATTATTATGAGTGTGTTCACAGTAAAGTGACAATTGAAGTATCTTGACTTTAAAAGGTTATAACTTAAAAACTAGAATTACTTTCATAGATTGGAAAAAAGATTTCAAACACAGACACATTGAAGAGATAGTGTGGAAAAAATCAAAAGAAAAGATTGACATAAAAATGTTTAGCAACATTTTAAACGACCAAATGAGCCTCTGATTGGACCATTCTACTGCGACGCCAGTTACATAGAAAATAAAATGTCCTCAGTTTGAAAAAGCAGAAGATGAAATCCCACAGATTTACACGGTTAACACAACAGAAGGAAATCACTTCATATAAAAAGGAATCGTGAAAAAATAAAAATTAATTAATGAATTAAATGACCCCTGAAAAATGTATAACGGACGTGATGAGGACGGTCCTCTTTTCTCTAAAAATTAAACTTGAGAAAATAAAAATCTGGTCTGTTTTCACATTTAATTGGTTGACAATATGAAAGTATCACTTTGCATCTACTTTGTGTAAAAAAATAGAATCTCTGGGACTTCCGGTGGCGCCATGTTCTGAAAAGGACGCAGGAGATTTCGGCTCCCATAAAATTCTCGACATTTGGCACTTTCTCTTCAAAATAAATATCCCCTACTTTCTAAGTGAAGAGGAAAGATGACTTCAACGAGGAAGATTTCAAAACAGCAACTAACCAAGGAAAGGATCAAGAGATCAGTGAAGCTAACATTAGCATCAGCACTTGCCCAACAGCTAAAGACTTGAACATGGCGGAGATTCTCCGCAAACTCAAAGATTTACCAAACCTCTTTCAGTGAGACAAAGGCCTCACTGGACCGACTTGAGGGCTCAATGCAAGAGGTGAAAGCGAGGCTGACGAGCGAGTCTCGGGCTGAGGAAGCTGAGGGCCGGATAAATGCTACGGAGGATGCTAGCCAACGCAGCGAGAGGCTGCTCCGCTACCTGCTGCGAAGAGTTAACAAGTCACTGCAAAGAGTTACAAAACCGCCTTCGCAGAAACAATATGCGTATCTACCAAGTTAAAGAGGAGAGTGAAAAGGAAGATATGATCGGTTTCGTGAAAGGGCTAATTAAAAATGTCCTGCATTTTCCTGAAGACGACGTTCAGATCAAAAGAGCTCATCGTGCTCTCGGGGCCAAGCTCCACCACGCTCCATTATTATCTGCTTCAGGGACTACGCGGTGAAAGAAGCTGGGCTCTTAAACAAGTTATGTTTCAAGGTAATACCATATACTTCGACCAAGACTACTCTCCTGAACTCCAAAAGAAGAGTTACGCGGCGTGATTAAGCAACTGAAGGAAAAAGGGGTGCGGCCAGATGTCAGCAAGCGGACCGAAGACCTTCCCAACGCTTGTAGAGGCTTTACCTACACTTCAAGACCTGGGTGTCCCTGTTCAGGTGAATGAAAGGGAGAAGATGGACAGGGAGCTGACCAAAGAACTGTGGAGCAGAAGTGAAAATGGGAAAAGAGGAGGTAATGGATCTCTCTCTGATAATGACCTCCAGGCTTATATCTGAACCTTCATCTATCTCATATGAATGACTGATGTTTATCGTGTGTTCAAGGTATGTTCCTCTCTGTGATCCGTAGGGGAATAATCGTGTATCAAAGCCATTGTCGCTGCTTGATAAGTGTTAACTAATTGTATTTTCATGGGAGCCAAATTTACCTTTTGCTTTTGACTATGAAACCCACGTTGTTAGGGTTTAGATCTCACCAGTGGATGCATCATCTCCACTCTGGGTTAGGGTTTAGATCTCACCAGTGGATGCATCATCTCCACTCTGGGTTAGGGTTTAGACCTCACCAGTGGATGCATCATCTCCACTCTGGGTTAGGGTTTAGGTCTCACCAGTGGATGCATCATCTCCACTCTGGGTTAGGGTTTAGACCTCACCAGTGGATGCATCCATCTCCACTCTGGGTTAGGGTTTAGACCTCACCAGTGGATGCATCCATGTCCACTCTGGGTTAGGGTTTAGGTCTCACCAGTGGATGCATCATCTCCACTCTGGGTTAGGGTTTAGGTCTCACCAGTGGATGCATCCATCTCTGCTCTGGGTTAGGGTTTAGACCTCACCAGTGGATGCATCATCTCCACTCTGGGTTAGGGTTTAGACCTCACCAGTGGATGCATCCATCTCCACTCTGGGTTAGGGTTTAGACCTCACCAGTGGATGCATCATCTCCACTCTGGGTTAGGGTTTAGACCTCACCAGTGGATGCATCCATGTCCACTCTGGGTTAGGGTTTAGGTCTCACCAGTGGATGCATCATCTCCACTCTGGGTTAGGGTTTAGACCTCACCAGTGGATGCATCCATCTCTGCTCTGGGTTAGGGTTTAGACCTCACCAGTGGATGCATCCATCTCTGCTCTGGGTTAGGGTTTAGACCTCACCAGTGGATGCATCCATCTCTGCTCTGGGTTAGGGTTTAGGTCTCACCAGTGGATGCATCATCTCCACTCTGGGTTAGGGTTTAGACCTCACCAGTGGATGCATCATCTCCACTCTGAGTTAGGGTTTAGGTCTCACCAGTGGATGCATCCATCTCTGCTCTGGGTTAGGGTTTAGACCTCACCAGTGGATGCATCATCTCCACTCTGGGTTAGGGTTTAGGTCTCACCAGTGGATGCATCCATCTCTGCTCTGGGTTAGGGTTTAGGTCTCACCAGTGGATGCATCATCTCCACTCTGAGTTAGGGTTTAGGTCTCACCAGTGGATGCATCCATCTCTGCTCTGGGTTAGGGTTTAGACCTCACCAGTGGATGCATCCATCTCTGCTCTGGGTTAGGGTTTAGACCTCACCAGTGGATGCATCCATCTCTGCTCTGGGTTAGGGTTTAGGTCTCACCAGTGGATGCATCCATCTCTGCTCTGGGTTAGGGTTTAGGTCTCACCAGTGGATGCATCATCTCCACTCGGGTTAGGGTTTAGACCTCACCAGTGGATGCATCATCTCCACTCTGAGTTAGGGTTTAGGTCTCACCAGTGGATGCATCCATCTCTGCTCTGGGTTAGGGTTTAGACCTCACCAGTGGATGCATCCATCTCTGCTCTGGGTTAGGGTTTAGACCTCACCAGTGGATGCATCCATCTCTGCTCTGGGTTAGGGTTTAGGTCTCACCAGTGGATGCATCCATCTCTGCTCTGGGTTAGGGTTTAGGTCTCACCAGTGGATGCATCATCTCCACTCTGGGTTAGGGTTTAGACCTCACCAGTGGATGCATCATCTCCACTCTGAGTTAGGGTTTAGGTCTCACCAGTGGATGCATCCATCTCTGCTCTGGGTTAGGGTTTAGACCTCACCAGTGGATGCATCCATCTCTGCTCTGGGTTAGGGTTTAGACCTCACCAGTGGATGCATCCATCTCTGCTCTGGGTTAGGGTTTAGACCTCACCAGTGGATGCATCATCTCCACTCTGGGTTAGGGTTTAGGTCTCACCAGTGGATGCATCCATCTCTGCTCTGGGTTAGGGTTTAGGTCTCACCAGTGGATGCATCCATCTCTGCTCTGGGTTAGGGTTTAGACCTCACCAGTGGATGCATCCATCTCTGCTCTGGGTTAGGGTTTAGGTCTCACCAGTGGATGCATCCATCTCCACTCTGGGTTATGATCACGTGTGCACTGAGTGCTTGCTTCCCAGAGAAGAAGCCACACTGCTCTGCCTGGTGACCAACAGGGGCCTGCTAGGACTGGGTCACTCTTTGGATTTCACGTACTAACACGGAAATCCCTGAAGGGGTCCAACATTGCTGGTCGGACAGATGGAAGTAACTATTGTTTATTTTGTTTGTTAGGTTATTTCGTTGTTTTTCTCTTTGTTCACTTGTTCATTTTCCTTGACAAGTTCATGTTCATATACAGGTTGTTTACAACATTCAGTACTGTCGTTTGTGTACAGACATCTTAAATATCTGAAGAGAAGGGACCTACAGATATTTGATAATCATTATGGCAGAAATCAATATAATTAGTTACAATGTTAAAGGGTTGGGACACCCCATAAAAAGAAGAAAGATATTGAGTCAATTGAAGTTGTAAAAATGCTCAGTAGCATTATGACAAGAGACTCATCTCAGTGAATTGGAGCACAAAAAATGAAAGAGAGAATGGATAGACCAAGTGTTTTTTGCAAATTGTCCAAGAAGTATGAAGAGAGGTTTGGCAATTTTATTTCATCGAAACACTATTTTTGATGTACAGAAAAAAGTGAAAGAAGTGAAAGGCAGATACAGTTGGCACTTTATAAGGAATAGAAATGACAATCATGACCATATAAGCACCAAAGGAAGACGATTCTTGCAAAAGAATCCAAGGGCATCATTATTCTTGGAGACTTCAATTGTGTGCTGGATCCAAAACCAGATAAATTACCTCCTGATAGCACCACTCCAAGTAGGAAAAGCAAAGCAGTAAAATATTGCAGGAACTAGGTTTGGTTTAAACTTGGAGAACTATAAAACCAAATGTAAAAGACTACACCTTCTTCTCAGATGTGCATGGGACCTATTCAAGGATAGAAATGATATGTGTGTCTGAAAAAGAGCTTCATAGAGTCTCTGACATCATAATAGAACCTATAACTTTATCAGATCACGGACCGGTTAAGATGTTGCTGAATCTGCATTTTAGATACTGGAGACTGAATGTCTCGATGCTGAGTGATCCAGCAATTTACAAACAATTAAAAGACACAATTGAGGAGTATTTTCAGTTAAATGACAAAGGAGCAGTGTCCCCCTCTGTGTTGTGGGATGGAGCCAAAGCAGTGTTAAGAAGCAAAGGTTAGCAAAACAAGTAGATTTGGAAAATTAAATTAGAAGATTAGAGCAACTGCATAAAACTACTAGGAACAATAATGTATTACTGCAACTTCAGGATCAAAGGAATGCTCTTGATAAATTGCTTACATATAAAGCAGAAGGATCGATGCGCTTTACAGGCCAAAAATACTACGAAATGTGTAATCGTGCAAACAGTCTACTAGCTTTCCAACTTAGAAAAATACAGGCTAGTCGTGCAGTGCCAGTAATCAAGCACCCGACAACAAGAAAACAAATTTCACACCCAGAGCAAATTGCAGGTGCATTTCCAGATTTTTATGAAAAGCTTTACACACCTGACACCCCACAAAATAATGAAAAGATGGATAATATTTTTAAAAGATTAGATTTAACAAAACTAACACCGATCACAGAAAAGGAAATAGTAGAGATCATTAAATCATTAAAAAAATAATGAAAGTCCCGGTCCTGACGGCCTTAGTGGAGAGCTATAAAAGCATTTAGTAAAGAACTTGCTCCTAAGCTGTGCGCAGTATTCAACTATGATCCACCAGAGCTGCTCTGAGGCCGTAATAACAGTAATACATAAAGAATGTGCATCTTATCGACCCATTAGCCTGCTTGGGAATGATGCTAAGATCTCTGCTCTATATTAGCCAAGAGGATGCAAACATATACTGGGAAATTAATTAATCCAGACCAAACTGGGTTTATTGCTAAGAAATCCATCCAGCCTTCAATGCTTCTTGCGTTAGATGCAGAGAAGGCGTTCGATAGAATGGACTGGATATATCTGAATTACACACTAGACAAGTTTGGATTTGGTCCTACTTTTATCAGTTGGATTAATACTTTAAATGAAGATCCAGTTTGAAGAATCCGTGTAAATGGATATTGCTCAGACTTTTTCCACATAGGGAGGGGGGTGCGACAGGGCAGCCCTGTGGCCCCAATTCTTTTTGCTCCTAGCATTGAACCCTTAGCTGAATGGATTAGAACAAATATACAGATAGAAGGAATACAAGATCAAAGCGGACTAGAACACAAACTTCCTTATTTGCAGACGATACACTCTTATACATTAAAACTCACTATCTATTCCTCCTAATGCACTGTCGAGGTGAATTTGGTGACATTTAGGATACAAGGTAAACAAATCCAAATCCAAAGCAATGATGATTACAGGACACTGGACAAGCCAACTGCTGAAGCTGAACTTAGATGGTCAAAAGAGGGATTCAGGAGTAATCTTAACTCATGACTCCTCAGAACTGTACAAATCAATTTATAGTAAACTTCTGACTCTATCTTTCTTTGTCTTTTCCACTCTCTTCCAGTCACAGTGCTAACCCTAACACAGCCTTCAAACTTATAGACAAGCTTATATCCAAATTTATCTGGCTAAATAAACGACCAAGGGTGAGACTTAAACTGTTGATCTCCCCCAAGGGAAACGGCGGTTTGGCCCTTCTGCATCTAAAAAGCTACTACTGGGCAGTCCAACTTAAAGCCTTGGTCACATGGATCAGGATGGATACGGACACAAGGTGGTTCCAGTTCGAGCAGGGCTCAGTGTCGGACAGACCAATATCAACACTATTATTTATGAAATAAACTGAAAATACAGAATGAATATGTTAAATTCACATTGAACATTTGGGGTAAGATCAGGAAACAATTTAAGTTACCTCTTTCTTTATCAAGAGCGTGATAAATAACCATAGCTGACTTTCTTCCTGCAAGACTGGATAGTGGCTTCAATAGGTGGGCGGACAAGGGTTTAGTAACAATAACCACTTATTGGATCAAACTTGAAATCATTCACTCAGATTCAAGTAGATTTTCAACTAGCATAAAGTGATCTCTTCCGTTTTTTTCAGATACGACACTATTTAGAGAAGCACAAGGAATTTGAAAAAGTTAAAGAGCAGCCAGAAGACTTCGAACAATATTGGATAGAAGTAATGGAAAGTAATGGTTTGAAAAAGATAATTTCTTCATTATACAAAATTATCCACAAAGAACAAGATGAAAATACATTCGATGTCATGAATAAATGGGAATTAGAGCCAACACAGTAATCCCTGATTCAGATTGGGATCAGTCATGGGTCGAGTGGCATAAATGTCTCAACAGTCCAAACTGGAAAGAGTTTAGTTGGAAGTTAAAGGAATAGTTCACCGTTTTTGCATACTGACATATGTTCTTACCTTACCTTAGACTAGTTAATATGTACCTGTGTGATCTTAGTCCGTGCGCT